CTCCTCCTCCTCCTCCTCCGTCCCCCAGAGCTTCTTTTGTCAGTTTGAATTGAAAAATCTTGCTGCAAACGGTCGTTTCTTGTGCTACATGCCACAAGTGCAGAAACAGCTGCAAACTTACTGTATCACTGACAACCACCAAGAAAAACATGACCTAGTGACGGACGGCTTGAAGTCACGTCAACAATCACATTACTAATACCGTTGGACATCCAACAGCGACTCTTCAAGTCCTGAGTCCTCACATGACTGAGCCGCAATGATTCACCGTAACTGCAACTCACTGCAAGTTTTTAACTCTGTGAAGTCAGTGGCCGCCGGGCCGACAGTCCCGGCGCCGAGTAGCGGTCACCGCGGCGCCGCACTGCCGCATCACCGTGAGTCATTATCAGTAACTTGAATGTTCAACGGTTTCCAGCGGGGCCGCAGTGAGCAGCGGCCCGGGCGGCGGCCATCGCACCCCCTGGCCCAGTGGGCCCGGGCCGGGGGGGCGGGTCAGGGCCGGGTTTCAAGCAAGTTCTTTTTTTAACCCGGACGATCTTTCACATCAGTCGCTAGTACTGATGATAGTCCAGGCCGGGCCGCCGAAAAGGAACGTTTTTGAAAAGGCGTGTAAAAAGGTGGCTGAGCGGGGATGTGGTATGCTCTCGTTCAAATATGAGACTGCCGTTGGTTAACTTTCTGCAACCACAGGGGGGTACCAGAAACTAAAATTGACTACCAGTACCTACTGAATTCACATGTAAAATACCGGTACTTCAAAAATGATGAGCGAGACAAAGCCCTGCACCGGTATAGTTCAAATGATTTAGGTGATATTCCCATGAAAGGGTTCCAATATACGAATCTATCAATATATATTCAAATATTACTGCTAATATTCAAAATTCCAAAATATATTTCATAAACTATATCAGTGATCTCTAAATTATTTTCTCCCCGGAAAAGCTCGACTCTCCCCTGCTCAAACCCTACAAAACCGGACAAGCGACGATATTCTGCTAGTTCGCGTTCATGGCATCGGTACATCCGACACGTCCTGCTCTCCTCCTTGAGATATGATCCTCATCTTCCTTCCTTCCTCTAACTACTTCCTCCTCTTCCTTCATTCCTCTAACTCCCTCCCTCCCTTCTCTCCCTTCTCCTTTCTATCTCTCATTATCATCACCCTTCCAACACCACCACAACCACCATTCTCTTCCGTTGTCATGTTTGTGAAGACATAGTTACTCTGCCATGTCTCTTTCATTATATGTTTCTCATACCTGACACGCTCGTCTAGATCAACCAGGCACATTTGATTCACGACCACAGCAGTGGTCGCTCTTCCACTCGCCTCCATGCTCCTCCTGGCGGAGGAAACGCGATGGGCACTAGCTTTGGCTGGGGAGATGATTCCGCTCCGGTGAGTGGAGGATGAGGTTGTAAGCATCGAGCTTATCTTGGCGCCAGGCTCCCATCAAGAAGCGTGACCCCAACGCTTCGTCTGTGGCCAGTGAGCCAGCGGCACCTGCTGCTCGTGCGGCAAGGAAGGGAGAGTTCGTTGACAACCGCATCGGGTGTGGAGTTGAGAACAAGGCCACCAACGTGCAGCCCGCCAAGGGCTTCGGTGACACCGGAGCCTCCAGTGTCAAGGTGCACCATGCTCCTGGAGGAAAGAGCAGCGGAAACATCCTCAGCTGGTCGTGAAGCGGATGAGACAAGGACGTCAAAGAAGTGCGGAATGTGTAGTTGTAATTTACATCTAAGATGCGTCATCAAGAAGCAAGACTAACCATTGATCTTCTCTTCCTTATTAATACAATTGCGGTGTGCACACGAGGTCTTTTGCGGATCAGAATTTCACGATTTCACTCCTTGGAGCTGCTTCAGTTCATTCCTTAATGTCTCTTCATCCAACTCTGAGACTGCAAGCTGTCAAATCGTCAGTAAGGCTGCTTGCATTAAGCTGAGAAATACCAGGTTGATCAAGAACTTGTTTTTCTGTTTTAGCTCTAAGTTTCTTTGCTTGAGCTGCTCAAGCTCTTCAGTCAAGTCCTGTTTGGTTGTCGATGCTGGTGTGGCTTGTCTGCTCGTGGGTACATCTACATCCTCCCGAACCTTCGGCGCTTGCTCACCTTGCTGCACCGATGGATCTTGTCTCGTTTCTTCATCTTGCACAACCGCGCTTGCGACCACACCGGAAGGCAATGGTTTCGCGATAACCTTAGTATCTTGCTCACTTGCTGGCTTTGCTAGTGGAGCTACGACATCTGTGTTGTCCTTCTTGGACTTGGTCGCAACCTTGGCTATCCTCTTGAAAAGTTTCATAATCCTCTCGTGATCTTTCTCGATCCAAGCGGCCGGTACAGTATAGCGAAAATGTCGAAAATCGTTGCTGCTCAAGAATGACTTTTGCCTACGACCTGCAAGGAAGTTCAAACTAACATCTTGAGAGATGGATGTTTGGAGAAGAGATGCTAAGGCTTCAAGAGTCGATGTCTAGTTCATGGAACAATGACTGCGATGGATGGATCCACTTCTGCTTCAAACATGAGGATCATCTACAGATTGTTCAGCTTCTGCTGACAAGGACAACCAAAGATCGTATCACACATTTGAAAGTTAAAACGAGAGAAAATCTCCTAGCTCACATGAATTTGCATCCTCCTATGACTCATCAATTCACAAAAACCCCTTACGATCCCCCCAATCGACTTTTACTCTGAAAACAGAAGCAGTTTCACTCATCGCCCGGAGACGAGAACATGAATTCTGACAAGTGCAGAAATATCTCCCGGATTGAATTTCCAACCATCATCGGCAAGAAATCAACATAGGAACAATGAATGGGGTGGATGGAGCTTGAAGTCCCCACTCCTCCTCCTCCTCAACCTCCTCCTAATTCTGTCTCTCCCTCCCCGTCCCCTCCTCCTCCTCCTCCTCTTCATCCTCTCCTTCCCATCGCTTCGCTCGCCATCAGCTTCACCTACACGGGCATTTCATCGGGTTTTCCCACAACTTTGATACTGAGGCGAGCACGGAGTCCAGTCCGTCACCGGGGCCCCGAATGAAAATTGACTCCGGCGGCCGGCGTCCGATACGGTCCGATCATTTTACTCAAAGTCCGATCAGTGCGCCGGGCGCGGTGACCGGGCCTGACGGATGCCCTTGCAGCGGCCGGCGGCCCCCCGGGCCGGCGTGGCTGGGCTGCGTTAGAGCGTTCAAGTTTTGAAAAGTCAAAGCTTCAAAAAAAATGACGAGGGCCAGGCCAAGAAGAATGCTGAATTCATTTGCGCTCAGAGATGGAATTACTCCTGACTAATCTTTGCGGTTGCCGGCCCCCGCGAGCAGCATCGCCATCGGTCGAATCTGCACTGTGTCTGAGAATGCCACTTGAATCCTCTGAATATTTGCGGGACGTGTCAGGCATAGATCGCAGAGATGCAGCATGATGATTTGCTTGATCATCTTCATCTCGATGTGTCATCATCGTTCCGGGAACAGCCGGACGTCTACCCATCATTGCAGATCGAGATTTCCTGCAAATAGGATTATTGGCAATCGAATGCATGTCCACAACGACGAGATCAGAGTAGACATACTTTCTATCAAACTTGACAGGGGCAGCAGCCGAATGCTCCTCCTAGGCAGCAAAAAAATGAAAACACGCAACGTCCTCAGCAATTATGTCACCTCTGCATGTTCATCTTCAATCGTCTGAAGTCGCACTTCTCTTCCAAGAGGCGAGCCGGGTGGAGAATGGTCACCAGGTCTGGCTCTCGCCTCTGGGCTCTGAGATCGGCCACGAGGGCTCATAGGAGCAGCAGCGGACTGCGAGAATGAATATCACAGAGAACAAGACGGTAAAAGGAAATGAACCTTGATAGCCCGCATGATTGCACCTGCATATGAAGCACCAGATGACCACAACCTGCAAGAATTTCAGACGTGACTTGGCGATGTTGAGAAGCTTACTTCGCTGGCTTCTTTGAGCCATCGGACTTGGAATTTTCTTGAATGTTGTATTTGGACTTTTCTTCTCTCTTCTTGAGCGGGTCGCTGACAGGTTCGAGCTCTAGCCACTTACAAACTTTGTTACACCTATTGCGCAGAATGAGTATCAATCAAGAAAGAAACAATGCCTACTTGTGAGTCAAAAAGAAACGTCGAATTCCTTCTGGGCCCATATTTCCACTTCCAAACCCTTCCCCTTGTAAAACTATCAAAGGGTAGACAACAAATAAGCAGCGAACTCCGTACCATCAATGGAATGAATTTGAGGATCTGTGTAATAATCACCAACTCCTTGAATGTCGCAAATTAATAACTGCGAAATCAAGAGATTGTCAAACAACTGATAGATGACGCAAATGATTAATCACTTTTTTTCCACTTGCTTCCCACGTGTAATGGCTGAAGGCCTGTAAAGAAAGAAGATCAGCTCATGTTGATCAAAGTTTAAACAAATTACTTGTGGATACATGTCATTCGTATCGACATGCCCGTCATTGTCATTGTGCTTCACATAGTCTCCCTCAAGCATCGGCTCTATGTTCACCAGTGCCCCACCCCTTTCACTGAGCTTGAACACACCAACCGGCAAGAACTGTAATTGCCTCTGCAATCCAAGTTCATTGAAAGTCTTAGCATAGGACCTTGCCAGCAACTGTGCAAACGGTGTTAGTCGTTGGCAAAGATTTGACATTCAGCGATAGGCAGCTGTCTGACCTGAATCATGCATTCGTTGAAATAATCTTCCGGAAGATGGTCCTTCATAAACATTTTCGCGACCTGCGAAGACGCATCGTTTACGACCATGTATGGACATTCCAATGGGGATGATATCATAGTCAAAACAACGACACATGGAAGATCAAGACAAGATCAAGATCAAGAATTAGGAAAATCAAGACCAGAAACAAGTCTTCTGCTTACGACCCTACATTGAGGTGCAACAAGCAGTCATGCGTACCGAAAGCGTTGTGGTGCCATCACGGTGAAGCTGTCTTGCTTTGTAACAAACCCTCGCTCCACCCTTGGCAAAGGGCTTCTCTGACAGAATGATGTATACTCTCCGTGTCTCCCACTCCTCCAGCTCTTCGTCATAGGTGTATCGAATCGCCTTCTCTGGTTGACCCCATTCAACGTCATCGCCTGCCCTTCCGCTTGCAACGGGAGCATCTTCCGAGGGGCTTATCCTGATCTTGCTCATGAGCGCCTGGGGGGGCACCGCGCCTCTTCCCCCTCCCACTTCGCTCATACTGTGCCGCCGCATTGCCCACGCGCGCCGCGCCCCGAGTCAGTATGCGATGACCTCCACCCCCCTCTTCCCCAGCCATGCAGAGGGATCTCCACCCCCCCCACCCCTCCCGAGTTCTGCCTTCGGGATATGACCACCCCCTTGAATTTCCGTCCTCCACCCCCAACATATCCTCGCAATTACCACCATGGGCGTTCGAGCCGAGGGTTAGACTACCCCCCCCTTAGGATGCGATCAAGGTAACCCCCTGGCTTGAAGGCTTTGACTCTCTTGTCAACATATGTAAATAACGAGGGTGGGTAGTACCACCCACCCTTCATTAATGCCCCAACAGTGACTCCTCTGATGCTAAGGACTGACCCCTCCCCACCCCCCCACCCCTTCGCCATGCCAACCATCTCCGAATACACGGAAGCCTTACAGACACCTACGAACCCGGTACCACCCCCACCCCTGAGCAGTGATAGGCTTTACTAACAACCCACCCCCTCAATGGCGCTGAGCCGGGCGGCGAGTCGTCCGTCACCCAGCGTATCTTTGCCAGTACTGAGGTGAGTCATTCATTTTTTAACTTAACTTTGAGTAAAAGAGAAGGCCTCTTAGAGGCTCGTTGCTCGTAATCAAGTTACGGTTCGCACTGGCAGGCCGGCTGAGTGCCCGGGCGGGCCCGACCGTCCGGGCCGACTCAGTCCGCGCCAGCCCGGCCGGGCCGGACCCCCCTCAGAGTGATCACAGAGTCCGATCGGCAGGTTTAGGTTTGGTTCTCGCTGTCTTTTCTCTTCTCGCCGTTTGGCCTGTGCGACAGTGTCAGGGTCAAGCCTCCTCGACTCTCCTGATTGGTCCTCGTACTGATTTTTAACTTAACTTTGAGTAAAAAATCCGACACCGTCCGCACTGGCAAGACGGTGACCGGGCTCGTACTCCCGGGGGGCCACGGTCGGACGCCCGGCGCCGGGTCCGGAGTCGGAATGCCCACTCGGCCCTGAGTCACCGGGCCGCCGCGCCGCCGCTGTAGTCCGATTCAGTTCTCAGTGCTAGGAGGAGTGGGGATGAGGGGTTTTCATTTCCCGCGCATTCCACGATGAAACTTGAGCATAGCCGGGAGGCGGGGGGTGATGGCGACGGGCGATGAGCGGCAGATGTGGAACGAGAAAAGGATGTAGGAGATGGCAGGACGCGAGAAAGACTGAAGAGAAGCTGGGATGGTAGAGTCAGCGGTCTGTAGAGGAAGGCAGGAGGCAAGGGGGGAGGAGAAGTAACAAAGGTGGAAACCAGGTGGGGATGGGGAGATTGAGAGATCTTTGTGGTGGTGTACGTTTTGGTCTTGTCTCCTAGAATGCCTTTATGTAGTCTGATCTGATCCTCGGTTTTGTTAGGATAATTGCGTTGGATCGTTGCAAGAGTTTGCCATGCAAGGGAAGGACCTTCGCCCGGTGGGTGTACAGGGCGGAAATGCGTTGAGAGAATGCCTGGCAACAGCGAAGGATCCAAGGACGGCCATCAAGAACTTCGTTTCAGAGAATTCACTGCAAACTCCCTCCTGCTCTCCTGCTCAGGAATGGCTGGATCTCATGGGTATCTCCCGGTGGGTCCCATGAGGATGGTTGCATGTCGCTGTGTACTCAGACGTCTCTCCTTTGAATCTTGTTTCTCGTTTGAATCTTGTTTCTCCTTTGAATCTTGTTTCTCCTTTGAATCTTGTTTCTCGTTTGAATCTTGTTTCTCCTTTGAATCTTGTTTCTCTTTTGAATCTTGTTTCTCGTTTGAATCTTGTTTCTCGTTTGAATCTTGTTGTTGCAGCGCCGAGCAGCACAAGGAAATTCTTACTCGGCTGAAAGATCGACTGCTCTCGAAAGTTGAGAGCATGTCGACAGAGAAGAAGCTTGCCCTGCTTGAGAAGTGCTTTCCCTACATATCCATTCCAGAGCTCAGGGATATCCCTCTGGTACTCTATTGTGTTGATGAGGAGGGGAGAGGGGAGGGGAGGCTGACGCTTGCGGTCCAGACACTTTTCTCGAATTTGAACAAAGTGCCCGTGTCATATCTGGTCACTCTAGCACAGAGTCCAGACCTGGTGAAAGAATTGCCGTTGTCAGTAAGGCGACAGGTCGTGAAAACGAAGTGTAGTACATGTTTGATGCATGGAATGAGTAGGTGTGGGCCAATGAACCGGACAAAGCACTGTTTCGTAAAGAATTCAATGGACTTCTAAATTCATATCGCATGCAATCAAAGGTGTTGCAAACCTAACACAAATTTCATCTTGATTGCCGAATCTACATAGACTCTGGGCGTGGTGAATGGATTATCAAACGTTAGCACAAATCAGAAGAAAGCAAGAGCTGCAAGCAAGGTTTTGCAAGAGATGGTCGCCATCCTTGGGGATTTCCAAGAATTATATACACAGGTGGGAGGTGAAGATAGTGATGTTGAGATCTTCTGAACATATATGTAGGCATTGAAGATTATTGAAGTCGAGTATCGCACAAACCCGTTAACCTCTTATTTGTATAGAGCGCTTCGTTTCTATGATGGCAAATTGATTGTTGCTAACAGGTCTACATTGCGTCTTCACCTTCCATTAGCAGTCCACGAGTCCGGAGTCAGGCATGTCGCAGAGACTGGTATTGTGTGGGCATGTTCCGTATGGTGTTTTAAGCAGCCTCCCAGATGCTACTTTCCGCCTTTGCAATCTGATTTCAAATTCGAGCAAAGAAAAGGTGTCCCCTTGGATTGGAAGAAGAGATAGTATGACTGCTTCTGGAAGGACGTTTTGAAGTTGATGAGTGACATGGAGCCTTTGATCGAGCGTTCAGATCCGTTGCTGGCCTCCATGTTGCTACGAGTGAGATTTTTATTCTCTTTGGAAATCTTCCTTCTGGTCTGCTCTAGCTGATAGTCATTTGTTGCTTAGACTCCTGAATTCTCATGCCTCCTCTCCAATACCATCATGACTGCTTGCAAGCGAGTTGCTGAGGAAGAAGGCATTCCAAAGGACGACAAGGTAATTCGTCGAACAAGAGAGCAACATCCATGAAAGATCAGAGAGCCCAAGAAACAGGAAAGGCAGGAGGACAGGGGCAGGGGCAGGGGCAGGGGCAGGGGCAGGATTCAAGATGCTTCCTCCGATGGGAAGGACTTATGATCGTTCTAGGTGCTTCGGTTGGCAACGAGATTTATTTGTCTGTCCACAAATGATGAGCTGCACACCCTCCCGAGCATCAGTCTCCCTCACTTGACCAAGAAGGGCGATAAAGCTTCCCCGGTCCTGTTTGATTCAATGCACGCAGTTTCGCGAAGCTGAGAACTTCGACACAGGTTGACAAGGAATGTCAGAAGATCTTGAATGAATTTTATCCGTCACTCTTGGTCAGTCTAGTAGACGACATCATAAGGTGCACCATGATTGATGACTTTGAACTTTCCTGATCCCAAAGAAATGCAGAGAAGAAGGTGATCCAGAGGACTTTGAGGAAATCTTCGTCAAAACCGTTGGTATTCCCTTAACAGTCTTTGACCCTGGACATCGTCAGTGATAACGAGGTACAGGAGAATGCAATCCAGCGAGGTTGATGGTGTTAGAGTATATGTTGAACACAATTGCGACAGGCAATCTTTATTTCGCTGTTATTGTTTCCTATTTGATGATGTTTTGCTACTTTTGGAACTTCAGATCAGGCAGATACAAAGAAATTCGATCAGCTCTTGTCCTTGTATGTCCCGCCATCTTCGCTGATCCTTCAGGCACTCGATTGATGCTTGGAGTGCAACAAAGGTGCTGATAGTTTCGCAGTTGGAGGAGGGCAGGAGGTTGACGGTGATAGCGAGAAGATTGCACGGGCACATATCGAAGGTGCAGGAGTGGAGCAGTGTGACATACAGCGGTAATCGTGCTGCAGCATACAAATGAATCGAACACAACCGGAGATGCATCGAAACTTCAATCCTTGAGGACAAGCTCGTGCGCCTTGGTTGTCAAGACATCCTCTATTGCAAAAGTCTGCTGTGGGGTGCTTGTCTCCTTCCTGCAACTACTCGATGTAGCCACTAAAGATCAAGTGGAGGAGGAGAAGGAGGAGAAGGAGGTGCTTCACGAGGAGCTACGGCAAGTGTTGGTAGTCCTGACATGTCTGCTTGTTGCCTCCATCTCATTTCTATGCGACAGAAGGAATTGCTCGCCTCAGACCCAGACGTCGACACGGAGACTCTTCTTAAGTGATGCTGAAACCTCATGCCTTGTCTCTCATCCCCCGTCCCCCTCCCCCTCCCTCTCCCTCTCCCTCTCCCTCTCCCCCCACCTTCTCCCTCTCTCTCTCCCTCTCCCCCACTCCCTTTCCTTCCTCCTTCCTTGGTTCCTCCCCTCCCGCTCTCCCTGCTTCCTTCCACTCTCACTGCCTGCCTGCCTTCCCATGTCACCCTCTGCTCTTCAACCTTCACTTGTCAACTTCCCCCTTCCCTCCTCGTCCTCGCTCACCCTGATCCTGGTGCTTGACTTCAGGTGCGGCAAGATCGGGTTTCACACTCCGCTGGCCGATGCAATGAAGCGACTGGCCAGTAGCGCAAAGATGGAGAGCTCGGACATGTCGACAACGATGGTGAAGTTGATGGGCAGCGGTAAGAGAAGTTGTGGAGAGTGGGGGGGAGGGAGCTGACGCTGAGTAGATCATGCTTCCTCGAATGCCGCGATGAAGGCAGACGAGTGATGCGAAACTTGTACATGAAGAAGATGAAAGGAGAGATGAAGACGAGGAAAGAGCAATGGAGAAGAACGGCGGAGGAAAAAATAATTTATTGTTTTGTTTGTTTGTTTTGTTGAGGAACTTTCTAGCTACCGACCAGCTCGCAGCGTGTTTTTCACTTCTTCCGTCCTTCGGCATCATGTCAGCCTCCTCCTCCTCCTCCTCCTCCAAACCCTTACCAGGAACAACATGCTTCTTCGCCTGGCCAAGCTCGACGGATCTACAAGTTGGATCAGGAGGAGGGCAAAGGAGGAGGGAGGAGAAGGAAGGAAGGAATGGGATGAGCAGGAAGGAGGAGCAGGAGTATGAGAACCTTGCACGGGTGGCGAACTGGAGAGAGCAGATGGACTCGCCGACGTCGCGGACGAGGGGGGAGCTTTGGACGATCATGAGGGTCTTGGAGTCTGGAGGATGAGGTGGAGGAGGAGGAGGAGGAGAGGTGTCAGGGACGCGCGAATCAGCAGTTGTCTCACCTTGTCCGAGCGAGTCTTGGAGGACGTGAGTCAGTTTAGAGTTGCGGTAGGGGATGTGCCCCTGCTTGCCCGCCGCCGCTGCTATCACGTCGCCGAGGGCAGAGAGAGACTTGTTGATGTTCTGAGATGAAGATGAGGAGGAGGAGGAGGAGGAGGAGGAGGAGAAAAAGGAGCAGAGAGAGGTGCAGGGAGGAAGAGGAGCAGGAGCAGAGCAAGGAGGAAGAAGGATGATGAGGAGGAGGAGGAGCAGAAGGCTGGAAGGAAACCTGTGCTTCCTTCAGGCGATCGCCGGTAGCGTTCGTACGAGATAACCTCTCTGAACCTGAAAAAAGCAATGATGGAGGACAAGGCTGACATGGAGGACGAGCAGGGGGAGGAGGAAGGGAGGAGCAGGAGAAGGAGGAGGAAGGGAGGACGAGGACGAGGAAGCGGGGGAGGAGGGGGGGAAGGGGGGGAGGGGCATACCAGCGAGGTCAACGAGGTGGAGTTTGCCGTAAGACTGAACTCCTGTCGAACGGTTTTCTCCTCGTGCGTACACGGAGAGTACAAGGTGAGAGCGGGAGGAGTGTTCGTTGATGTTGTTGTTGAAGGTGGTCCTGCAGGAAGTGAGCAGGAAAGTGGTGGAGGAGGAGAAGACAAGGACATGGAGGGAGGAGGAGCTTGAGGGTCGGTTGACATGAGGGAGGGAGGGCGAAGGAGAGGAGCAGAACAGAGAAGGAAGGAGGGAGAGGAGAGAGCGAGGAGAAAGCCAAGGAGACAAGAGAAAGAGGAAGGGGGGGGGGGGAGGAAGGGAAGAAGGAAGGGCGGGAGGAGAGGTGAACCTGTTGTCCCTCGCCTTGCTCCACAACTTGATAACTTCTTCATAGGATGAGACCTGCGAGCAATCAGAAGAGACGAGGAACTGGAGACAGAGAAAGAGGAGGAGAAGGACAGGAAGGAGCAGGAGGAGCAGGCGCAGGATATAGGGGAGGAGGTGGAGGAGGATGGCAGCAGGAAAGGGGGCAACGCAAATACCCTAGCAAGAAAGAGATCTTGTACGTAGTTTCCATCGGGACCCTGTAGGAGGGTAAGGGGGAGGCGGTGGGGGAATGGAAGTGACCTGTCTGACTTCCAACTTCTTGTTACCCCCGGGCTCCAGCAGATCCTTGATCTCCTCGTTGTAGATCTCGAGGATGGAGAACTCGACGGTGTAGGTGAAGTCCTGACTCTTGTTGGCGATCTGCAGGCGAGACAGTGAGAGGAGGGGGGAGGAGGAAGGGAGAGAAAAGGGCAAGGGCAGGGGAAGGGGAAGGGGAAGAGGTCAAAAACAGTGGCGGCACCATCTCAAACAATCTTGCAAGCGTTCTTGGGTTGATTCCTTTTTCCTGGTTCGATCCCTGACAACAACTTTAGAAAAGAATAATCCCTCCTTTCATCCTCATCCTCCTCATCCTCATCCTTTCCTCTCCCTCCCCCTTGCTCTCCCCTCCTCTCCTCGCTGCCTCTCCTGGTCTTCCCACAGCTTCTCCTCCCCCCTCCTTCTCTTCCTCATCCCTCACCTCCATGGTAAAAGTCTTTCCTGACCCCGTCTGACCATACGCGAAGATGCACACGTTGTATCCGTCCAGCACGGAGGTGACCAAAGCCTCCACCTCCTCGAACACCTGACCTTCAGTCAGTCTTTCTCCTCCTCCTCCTCCCCCTCCCCCTTCTGCCCCCCCCCCCCCCCCCTTCCCCTCCCCGGCCCCCAACTCCCCAAGGCTCGCTCCCCTCCCCCCTTCAACTTCTTGATCCCCCCCTTGTCCCCCTCTCTCCTTCCACCACCCTTCCATCCTCCCCTCTCTTCCTCTTGCCTGCTCCTGCGTTGAGTTGGGGCCAAACGTGCGATCGAACTCGAAAAATTTCTCTGTCCCCTTCGT